ACCACCCAACCCACCATTACAGCCTCATAACTGCCATTTTCATCGCAAGACTTGTTCATTAATTTCGCTTTAACAACTCCCTAATTCATCACCTATTCTTCGTTTGTACTACATTTTTACAACTCTTTTGTTCAACCATTCATTGACGAAATAAAAAAAAAAAAACGTCAAAAAGTGACCAATCAACTTAATGGGTGCCTCCTCCACCGTGATTCTGAGCCTTTTCGTGCTCTGCGTCTGTAAGAGCAAAGGTGAGCTGCAGTACTGTACTAGTGAGTTTAGCGCGGCCAGTATTTTTACTTCGACAAACTTTTATGGTGCAGGAAACAAATTTTGACATTTTACAGTTAGTGGAAGAATCAGATGTTAAACCAATTTTAGGTTCTGTATTCTAATTCCATGCAGAAAAGACACTATTTATTTGGTTTCTTTGTTAGAAAAGCCGGATTAAAATGCTGAAGCATTATGAATTTTTTTTATAATAGGTGGTGAACTTTTTACTAAAGACTTATTTAATGTACAGGAGTCTCAGGGGCCACAATTACTTTTGTGAACAAGTGTGAGCAAACGGTATGGCCCGGAATTTTAGGGAATCCAGGACTGGGCAGCACGGGATTCGAGCTCCAAAAGGCTGCATCACGCTCACTCCAGGCTCCAACAGGCTGGTCGGGTCGATTCTGGGGCAGGACCGGGTGCACGTTTGACGGGTCGGGTCAAGGGTCGTGCGCCACGGGAGACTGCGGGTCGGGCAAAATTGAATGCGACGGCGCCGGAGCGAGCACCCCAGCAACCCTGGCGGAGTTCACGCTTGGGTCGGGGACTCAGGACTTCTATGACGTCAGCCTAGTAGACGGGTACAATTTGCCCATGCTCGTCGAAGGGAGTGGCGGGTCGGGCTCCTGTGCCTCCACGGGTTGCACCGAAGACTTGAACTCGAAGTGCCCGAATGAGCTTAAAATTGAAGGTGGCGGCGCGTGCCGGAGCGCTTGCGACGCTTTTGGGACCCCGGAGTACTGCTGCAAGGGCCAGTACGCTTCGCCTTCCACGTGTTCCCCGTCGGTGTACTCGCAGATATTCAAGTCGGCGTGCCCGAAATCGTATAGCTACGCTTACGATGATTCCACCAGCACATTCACGTGCACCGGCGCCGATTACACCGTCACGTTTTGCCCCACTTCCCCTTCAAGGTACTCTGCTCCGTTGCCTTGCGTTGCGTAGCAGTGCAGTAGTTTTACATTTGTACCCTTCAATTGTTTCTACCTTTCAATTTACGGAAAACAATCCAAAATTCAATTTTGAGAAATTGATTGTATTGTTTTCCCCGAATTTATATAATTTATCGTTTTGGGTCCTTTTCGTATTTGGATGTGTAATGGTAATAATGGGTCATCTTTTCAACAGCCAGAAAGCTTCGAAGCCAGAGGGGAGTGCAGCGGACGGATCTGGATCCGGGTCAGCATCAGGGTCGGCTTCGGGTTCAGGTCCAGTGCAGGAGTCCATGCTGGCAGATGGGTCATGGCTAGCAAATTTGGCCACTGGGGATTCAATCAGAAGGCACCACCCTTTCGGGGCTGCCCAGTTCTGGGTACTGGTGTTGACGGTCATGTCATCAATAGCATCGTGGATGCAATTATAGAATTTTATTTATGATTTAGTGTCCCAAATTCATTTCACCGAAGGCAAAAAGTATACCACAGTACTTAGTACAGAGGACATTATAAAGTAATCAGTTGTGTCCACAAATCTGGCAAAAAGGGGCCTGAGGCTCTGGTCATTCTAGGACAATCGATTGTAAGCCAAGCATTTCCACTCGTATCAAAGGATGTTATTAGTTGATAAGCAATTTTGTTTTTATATAGCGTAGAAGTGACTATATGATTCTATAATTAGTCATAACCATCACTATCATGGCCATGATGTCAAAGTTAGGAGCAATGAATATATATATATACACACACACACGTGTGTGTGTGTGTGTGTGTGTGGTGCTACATAGACTTTGTAGTAAAAAAAAATAAGTTCGCTCATCATGAATGTACACTACTAAGAAAAAGTGAATGCTAATGGCAAAGTGTAGAATTAATCAGTTGGCAAAGCAGCACTTTGGTGGTGGAGTTCTGAGCTTAAGCTAGCTTGGTGGGCAGTTGATTGATTACTCAAGAATGCGGATGTTTTGTCTGCATTTGCCTTTCCTTTTGCTTTAAGCTGTGCGGTTGCTGGAAAGATGCTTTGCCCCGTGATTTCTTGTGAAACAATTATTGCGTATTTGGGGTGATGTGGGAAGCGAAAGATAATTTGTCCACAGTGCCTTACTGCTATTTTTTTTTTTTTTCTGACGGAATGGATATCCGGATCAATTCTTACGGGGCCCGATTAATCCCATTCCGGCCCGGAGAGGAGGCCTCACTCCACTCGAGCACGGTGACAAGGGGGCTCGAACCCTGATTGTCCAGATAAGTCCGCCATACCCTAAAGAGGGGGAGCGGACCGCTCGAGCTAACCTTGGAGGCCCTTACTGCCATTAAGTCATGGGGGAAAATGGATGAAAAGTTGCCATACACAGTAATCGAACTTCCGGGGTTAACAATTTAATGTGAGACCAGTTGGTTCAAAAAGTTGATGAAAGCATGACAGATAGAAGTGTGACACGCTAACAGGGAAAAAAAATAGTGCTCGATTTAAATGGCATGCGTTAAAATTTGGCATCGATGTGGAGAGATATTTCAAGAAATTGTGAGATTTTGTGTGTACAAGGTGTGAGATTTTGTGTGGACGAAAGATATATAGAAGTATCAATTTTATTTTTATTTATATTATTTTTTTAGATCTGCCATATCTATTGATTTCAAATTTATATGTGTTTGTATCATGTTTGTTTGATGTATTTTCTATCATCACTACAGATTTATTTGAATGAAATCATCTTTTCTATATAAAAAAAAAAGATGTCGAATTATATACTTCGGCCTAGGAAGCCAAATATCATGGACTATGCCCGCTCTGGCCTTTACCAGTCGTAAAAGAGTATGTTGTGTTTGGATTGCATTTTCTAAGATTTTTTATAGAAAAATTACTGTAGCGATTTAATATATATGAGGAAAAAAAGTAATAGAAAAATGTGATAACGGAAAACGATGCAATTTTTCGGCGGAAAATGACTGTCCAAACAAGGCTGCCCATATCCATATCTGAAAAAGAATCTTATGTTAAAGAGAGAAAGGGCAGTAAATCCAAAATGCAATCAACGATGCAATCATGCTATCAGTCACTAATCAGTGTGTAGATAAGATTGCATACAGAAGAAAGGGTTCGCTGCTAGTTGATGCTACTACTTTACTTCTTATGCCAATGATTTTAGAGCAAAGAATAGTTAGACCTGCTGCGCATCACAACAATTATTGGCCTTATTAAAAAGAGAATGTTCTCAATTCTATATATATATATATATATATATATATATATATGTTTCGAATTTGTTACGATTAAGAAGCAAATCTTTAATGGCTCAACACAATAACAATTCTTGAAGGTGACTTTTCTGAACATTCAAAATCATCTGAAGACCAACTGGGCAAAAGTACTGGCCTTTAAGCCCTCCACTGTGCTGGATAATAAAACGTCCACTAGGCTGTGTTACGGACAATTGGCTAGTGGGAGTATTTAACATCTGGTTGTCAATTTTCTCAGCTGGTTGTTAATTTGTACCAGTATTAAATTAGACTGTCGATGAGTTCTTGGTCTATAACAAGAAATGTGACCTCCAGACGATTGCAGTATCCAATTTTGTGGCCTAAAGCTATCCAAACGATAACGTGAAATGATGAGTTCGAGTAGAGGGGTCCAAAGAGAAGAACCATTTTGCATACAGAAATACAACTGGTGCGATCGAGATTGAATGTGCCGTGTTGTTTTCAGTGTGCGAAAGTGCATCGGGAATGACGACAAGCAGGGCCAAAGCTAGCCCAGCCAGCATCTGCATGATTTAAACATGAAATGTACCCTTTGATCATGTTGCGCCAAAACCTCCAATTATGTGTGTATTTTCAGAGAGCGAAATGAGCTCTTTATGCTAGAATTATTGGTGTTGATGACTAATTAGCATACTACACTACTGTTTTTTGTTTTCTTTGGAGGGTGTGAGAGATTCTGTGCAAACACTTTGATTTGTTTATTTGCAAGAAGACACAGTTCCTACTTATTCTGCAATATATAGGGTGGGGGGACTGGAGGGGACACTTCACCGGCCAAGAAAAGAAAGAAAGCAGCCTACTTTAGGTTTGAGATAAGAGGAAGAAGACGACTAGCGGTACCATTTTAGACGGTGTAGCTTGTTTCAAATTTTCTACTACTACAACGGGTGGCAGGACCAGCCGAGTCTTTGATTGATGTTGAATTGTTGATAAAATTCTAGTAACCACATATCAGAGGAGAGAATCGACCTGTCAAAGCTCAGAGAACGATGTTCGGCTAGCATAATAACTTCCACACGCATTATACAACAGGAAGTTATGTTCAGGTTCGCAAACGAATCGAACGGCTCGAGTTGGACTCGAGCTTGGTCAGTTCAAAGTAAAATTATATTGAGACTCGACTCGATTAAGTTGAAACTCGACTCAACTCGACTCGTTTGTACCTCTAGTTATGGCAAACCTTTCTTTTTTTTTTTGGGAGCAAGATTCAATTTATTTTAGTACAAAAGCCTCTTCATATTTGCGAAAACATCGGGTTGGAGTACAAAGCCTTTTTAGATTAGTTTAGTTGCTAAAAACATATAGTTGTCATCAAGGTCTACAAAATTTTAAGGAACACAGAAAATAGACGATGAAGAAAGTGAAGCAAACGTCAACGACAAAGGTTTTTTCCGATGAGCTAGTTTGGGCCAATTTTATGAAATTAATCGCATGCGATATTACTACAATCCTGTTTTGTATTCTCACCCGATGGCAATAGAAGTAATTTCTCAAATTCAAGACAGCTTGAATTTAGTCATACACCTAGCAAATCCGTAAGGTCTTGAAGAAAACTTTCTTAAGCACAGAAAATAATGCGTTGCATACAAAAGCAAGAGCAGCCAAGAACACAACCAATCATGTGGGTCAACCTGATGACTATGGTTTCAAAAAAAGTTTGATAGATTAGCTTCAAGTGCATACAGCTCCTTGGGTACAATAACTACATAAAGAGCTCTCAGCCAATGGTGAAAATGACCCACAAGTTTCACTGAGTTATATTGACCAAAAGAGGATAGCAATGATCCTTCTCATAGTTGGGCCAGGAGTCATCACCTTCCACAAATTTCTGATGACGCCTCCAAACTTCTGAATCATACATCTCAATAATGTTATAATGCAAGCCACTATCCTCTATTTCCAGTAGAAACTTGTCCAGCGAATCACCTCTTCTGGGGCTGAAAAGTATGGCTTCAGAAGGCTTCTCTTTTCTTAACAAGGTTCTGATAGTTCGAGCAAGATCTTTGTGGAATTCTCTGAAAAAAGTGCTGCAAGAATGGCAAATAAAAACTTAATGAACAAGAAAATTACCTTAAAATAGTGCAGTAGCATGAACATATCACTCAGTATTTGCTGCCATCACAAGCCAAAATGCTCTACTCGAGCTTAGCATAGTGTTGAGGTAAGAAAACCTAGGCAGTGCAAACATGATTTGCATGCTTTTAGGCATTCGAATAACATGGAAAAAGCTTCTGGCATGCTCAAGAGCCAACCCAGAGTTCTAAAAATAATGATCTCATTCAATGAGATAAGCGCTTGAATGTTGTTCCAGTCTCCATATGTCACTTGAGACACAGAACAAAATGTCAAGATCGCCAAATATGATTCTGATTAAACCGATTCACCTGTTAAGAATTCTAAATTGTCCATGGCTTCTGCAGGTTCAGAAAGAATTATACGGTTCACTTCCAAATGAAGGACTTGAAGTAAAGACAAGCATCCAACTGAAAATTTCATGGCAGATATCCAATTAAAATTTATTACCAGTCACTCGCCACAATAATGTCAAAGCTGTTGGAAAAGTCTTCCAGCTTGTCATGATTCCAGTGCAGCACCATTGGTTTCACGATTGAATCACCAAATGCACCGGAATTGGCATCAATACTACGCTGGATATCTAGATGTTAAGAAACCCACATTCAGCAGAACATGTGTAAAGCATTGAGGCGACATTTAGGTGGGAATAACAGAAATTTTAGTTGTGCTGCAAGCCATAATAGCATGGAACCAGTTACACAGGCAAGTTAATACAATAACTTCAAATTTACAATCATGAAAGCACAGAGCAGATGAATTTGCAGTAGCTAGTCATATACCCTATTCAACTTGATGATGACTAATCACAAAAAGCCAAATAAAATTTTGAACTGGGGCAGACAAGCCAGAGGCACAGCCAACCTAATGCATAAAGATTTGTTCCACATCTCTAACAAGAAGAAATCAACAGGATACAATTGAAAACTTGAGGGTTTCCATCTGATATGATGACTTCTGTCGCTTGTGTCACCGCAGCAATAACTAAGCCAGCTAAGCCATAACCTGATCCCAGTTCTATTACTTTCTTACACCTAACAAAGTAGATTAGATGAAATGAAAAGAGAGAATACACAGAATTACATGATGGTAGCAAAAGATAAAAAAGATGGACATGAAATAAGATATCTAACAAACCTGAACTTATCAGCATTTGACAAGCAATAGTAAGCAAGGACATCTTCTGATGGCCACTGACCTGTTGCACAAGAAGGTTAGAACACTGTACATGCAAACTACTACAAGAATATCAAGATTGCCAAACCTATTCAACTAATTAGTAGTAGTTTGGAAATGATGTACTGCTTGCAAGACTCTAATCATTTCACTGAGGGAGATAAGCAGAAGTCATTTATGAAGTGGAGAAGTGACTTAGACTATTAAAGTTCAAGACAGAAAAATATTTCACTGCAACAGTTCACATGAACATCATTACCATATAGCACTTAAAGCCTACATTGTAAAAAACTTATCCAAAACATGAAGCTTATTATTGTGACTCCGAAAAGACTTCAACAAAATTGATGAACTAATTGAATCCTTGAAACCACCAGAAATGCATTGTATCCTTAATTAGCTCCAATTCAACAAAAATTTAAATGTGAACAACTAAAGTTGATTATTTATGCATCACATCACATTTCTGATCACTGACAAGGATTTGCATGGAGACTGATCAAGGACATAGGCTTATTCTCTATAACTAGGCTTTTACTTTATAACCTCTAAAAAGTTTTTTGCACGCAATAATCTTACTGCTGCACCCCAAGTGGCATCAAATAACATGTCTATTTGTTGGTTTCGCTTGTCATATCCAAAATAAAATAGATAGGACCCGAACGAACTTTTCCTCTCTCATCAAACATGAGAATGTTTCTTAACATCGTTTCCAGGTCAGGAAATGCAACCAACAAATTGACTGCACAAGGAAAAAGAGAAGCAAACTACTAACCCCTCACTAATATAAAACTCCTCTGTATTAAAAAGGAGTACAAGAAATAATAAGAGCGGGGGAACTTACAAACAAGTCCTGTGTTGTCAATATTGTGTCTATTACACACTTCAAAATCATTTAGATTAGCACCATCAGCATCCACTCTCTGACTGCATTCAGTTTCAAGTATTGTCAAGCAACATAAATATAGTCGACTGCTTTTTTTTTCCTTTTTTTTTGGTGGCCAATGAAACAAAAACCACTGCTAAAATTGATCAAGGATCAATTAAAACTATCTGCCAGCCCAATTTTTCAGCCAAAAAATCTTTTTTTTTCCGGAAGAAGAACAAAATTGTGAATTTAAATAAAAGTTGGAAGCACACCTGCAACCAATACAGAAATGAATTGACTAAATTAAAATTCCAGAGTATGAGCTTACTATAGAAGAATGTTGAGAGAATTATGATGAATAGGCAATTTATAAGAAAAGCAAGCAACTCTTGAGCTGCCGAATTGATTTTTTGAGGTTGAAGTATCCGACTTTTCTTCGGATGGGTCATCTATAACATGGTAAGCAATCAAATTGAACCCGCGACTCGCCTTTCTGGATACCCGGTTTTGATCCAGTTCTGATTGCTCATCTGCAAGGTTTCTCAGCGCCAACAAATTCAAGATTCAGTTTTTGCAGCCCAATAACCAATAAATGGAAAAGCATCTTTCTTTTTTTCAACTTTCGACTTAATTCCTTTTCCTTTGTTTTTCTTTTCTTTTTTTTTTTGGGAGAAGAAAAGAGGGAAAGGGGGCGGGGGGTGGTTGGAGGTTAAGGACCTACCTGGTGAAGATGAATGTCTGCGCAGGAGGGCTCGACGAAGGATTCCCCATCGCAGGGACGAAGCATTTGGCTCTGAGATTTTGTCGGCAGTAGTATTGGCTTCCATAGCTGCACAGATTTTCTTATGGAGAATAAATGGGTAATTAACTAACTAATTATCACCATTTAAAAGGGTTTATTAACTAAGCACGATTTCGCTGTTAATTAATTGCCCTATTCCTTTTACTACGTTGTAACAAGAAACGTTTGTACTCCCTTAGCAACCTCCCATTAGGTCTATTGCTAGCATCATGGAAGCCGTCGCAATTGCTACCAATTATATGTTACCATTTAATTCTGCAAAATTGTTTCATCAGTCCAGTCTCCAGTCCCATGGAATTAACTGGAGGCATTCGTACTAATCACATATCATGGCTGAAGATTGGTCAAGCCGAACTGACCTAATACGTTCTCTTTCGGAGCGAGGTGATTTTGTGACGTCCTTTTTCTGCACTGGACGGGGCTTTTTCCCCCGGATCACCTCCAATGATTAAGTTAGTTCACTGGGAAATAAATAATGGGAGTAGAAATAGTGGAATTCTTACTTTTTCTCCTCCTTTTCTGAATGAGAGAGAGTAGTATTTACAGGGACAAGTTGGAGGAAGGAACAGTGGGCTTCAACTTCTTAGGACTTGGCAGGGATTGAACATGTTCAATTTGATTTGACAGGACGTAGCAGTAGACAGGTCCCGTCAGATGTCTTGTCCGTAATGTAGGTGTCAGGTTTTCCGATAAGACCTCGGATGTCGTATCAAGCACAGCACCGATATGAGGTACCGGTGGATGTGGGAGTCACCTCGATTATCCACATGCGATGTCCAGCCGAGGTGACTAAAACTGGTGGCGACCCGTCCTAAATAATAAAGGGTTGAGTTCGTTATGGGCGAGTCGGAATGGTCATCCTCAATGGCCATTAATTTTCTTTACTGTAGTCTTTGACCCTCTCTCGTGAAAAGGATAAAAAAGATCGACTGCTTTTTTTTTTTTTTATAAATATTTTTTGGGGTTAATTACTGAATTTCTTTCTTGATCTTGGTTGGATCTTTGGGACGAAAACGAAGTAGCTCTAAACTGCACGTCTTGTTTCTTGAAAACTAACTAACTAGTAAGTACTAATTTTTTCAGATGCTCCCACGCCCTTCATGAATGCTCGAGATATTTACAAACCTAATTCGAACAAGTCAGATTTTCTTGGCGTTTTTGCATTTTGCGCCACAGAGTTACCATCCATATCATCATTCGGGAAAATGTTATAAGACTTGCCTCTGTTTAGATATTGTAATCCATGATTGATATTCTAATTAATTGATTAATATTTATCAACGATTGATTAGTATCTCCCTATTAATGATGATTACTTGGCTTCTTTTGTAGATATTTCAATCAATTACTCAAAAACATTGTTCTCAATTATGATTTACGGTAACATTTTTTTTGATGGAAGGAAACCTAGGAATATGATACTTGCCACTAAGAGTCTGGCCTATGTAAATAGGAGGTAATAATCCACCTATTCCATGTTTTTTTCTGGTAAGACATAAGCTAGCTTTCTTTGTTATGCTATGCTATTATAGAGAAGAAGGAGACAGAGAAAAGAGGCATATTTGGCGACAGTGGTGAAAGGTAATTTTGTTGATATTTTGCTGCTTACTACATATTTGTGTACATTTTATATAACAATTGTATCTAGGAAAAAGGCAAAGGATCCTAGGAATGCACAATAATGATAAAATGCCTGAAAACTATATCAATATCTACAAAAATTGAAGTTACCGGTTCTACGAGAGGCAAATAAGGACGTCAAATTTGTCAATTTTCCAGGAAACATTCATATCCCAGTTTTTCTCTGTCTTGATTGTTAAGCCAGTAGAATGGCCATGCTGTTTCCAGGGGAATGTTCTCTGGCGCATTAGAACACTGCAGACACAGCAGAGTATCAGTAAATTAAATCAGCAGAGTGTAACTTTTCATTAAAAATATGACAGATGGAACCCCTTTGGACTTTGAAGTCGTGCTTTTAATCAGAGAGTCTTTTTGCAAGATTAAAGTTAGTCCCTCTCAAAAGAAGATAAAAAGTTATTGATAAAAAAAAAAAAAAACAGTGGTATGCTTTCCAGAAATACAAACTGTAAAGAGAAAAAGAAACTTGATTCAGGACAGCATTCATGACTCTTTGACCAATATTGATTCTTTTCCACATTTGTACTTTGCCGCGTAAGGAAATGTCTATTGTTTTTAATTAAAATTTACTTGTTTCCTAGGATCTTTTCCGAAGATAACGACCCAACAAAGGATTTGATCAGACTGAAAATCTCATCGCATCCTTCTCAGTTCTATTCAGAAATTATGTGTTCCAAGATAATTTTAGTCCTGATGGTGATTTTCATTGTAACTACTGGTGGTGAAACTTGCCACCCCAATGACCTCAAGGCCTTGACTGATTTCAAGGCTGGGATCCGCTATGATACTTCATTCAGGCTAGAGAAATGGAATGGGAGTACTGATTGCTGCAAATGGGAAGGCATTTTGTGTGACAATAGCACTGGTAGAGTCATAGAATTGAATCTTCCAGGTCTCCTCACCTTGTATGATGCTCCAGCACAAACAGTCATGGACGGCCAGCTATCTCCTTCCATTGCACTTCTGAGCTCTCTGGAAATTCTTGATCTTGGCGAAGTTCTTGAGCTCAAAGGGCAGATTCCTCCGCTGATAGGAAATCTCACAAAGCTCCGAAAGCTGTTGCTTGACACCAACAAGCTTAGTGGTCCAATACCAGATAGCATTGGTAAGCTACCTAAACTTGAAGAATTGTGTCTGAAAGAGAACTACTTTTCTGGTTCTCTTCCTTTCAGCCTCGGAAGTCTCAGGAGTCTTAAAAGCCTCGATCTTAGCTCGAACAAATTTTCTGGTTCTATACCTGATTCTATGGAAAATTTGACAGATTTGGAGAGCTTGACTCTTCAGGAAAACTTCCTAACTGGTCATATTCCAAATAATATTGGTAACTTGCGGGCTCTCAAAGAGCTTGATCTATCAAACAACTTCTTGACTGGGGGAATTCCTTTCTCCATGAACAAGCTAAATTCCATTTCAAGCATCTTCCTTGGCAACAACCAGCTTGAGGGAGAGATACCATTTCCTTCAAGCCCCGGTCAGATGTCTTCCCTCGCCTTTCTACGCCTAAATGACAATCATCTGACGGGCAGGCTACCTTTGTTTTTTGGGCACCTGAAATCACTTCAAAGAGTCATTCTTGACAATAATCAGATTGAGGGGCCTATCCATTCCAATTTTAGCGATTTAAAAGCATTGACAATGTTGTATCTCAGCAGAAACAGGTTCTCTGGTAAACTACCAAGAACTATTGGACTGCTCTCTCAGCTTCAGTTTCTGGATCTCTCTTACAACATGATTCAAGGACCACTTCCTTTGGAGATGTCTACTCTCACAAATCTTCAACTACTTGACCTGTCATTCAACCATTTGAATTTGTCATCCATCCCAACTTGGCTTGTGGAGTTGCCATCACTGTTTCAGCTTCACTTGGCTGGATGTGGAATACAGGGTGAAATTCCTGGATACTTGGAAAGACCTGCAAGCATATTGCAAGAATTGGACTTATCAGATAACCATATTACTGGGAGCATACCTGCATGGATTGGGAGCTTCACTAGTCTTTACCTTTTGAATCTCTCCCAAAATTCCCTTGCTTCCAAGATTCCCGATACAGTTACCAAGCTTGGACGCTTAGGGGTGCTGGATCTTCACTCAAATAGGTTATGGGGTCCTCTAAATCTGGTATTTCAAATGCAAAGCAGTGGAGGATTGACTTATATTGATCTTTCTGATAACAGCTTCTCAAATGATATTGAGCAGGCTGACATGGGAACGCAACAGGGGATTCAGTACCTCAATTTATCACATAACTTTCTCCATGGTAAAGTGCCAACAAGTGTCGGAAAACTGCAATCGCTGCAGACTTTGGATTTGAGTTATAATCGGTTTGACTCTGTCCTGCCAGAATCATTAGCAAATGCAAGCATTTTGGTGAATCTAGAGCTGCAGAATAATCTGTTTACAGGCAGAATACCAGATGGGTTTTTGAAATTGACAAAACTCAAAGAGTTGAACCTATCAGATAATCTTCTTTCTGGACAAATTCCTTTTGGTGAGCCTCTAATTAATTTTCCAAAGAGCTCTTATTCTGGAAATAGAGGACTTTGTGGCAAACCCCTTGCTACCTGTAGCCCACACACTGTGTATCCGTATATTACTTAGTTTTGGTCTTTCTTCGGGACGAAGATTGGAATGTGATAGCAGCAGCTGGAGTCAATTTTATACAAATCAAAGCTAAAGCTTAGCTAAAAAACTGATTTTATACTTTCGCAATACTTAGTTTTCCCTTTATTCACATGTTCATTACCAGCAAGATTGCTATATTCCTGTCAGAAGCCAGAAGCAAATGCACCCGTTTATGCATGAATTATGTGTTTCGTAAGAAATCATGCATCATCAATGGAAGAAAAGCAAAGCAGGACTAAGAACATTCATCATTTTATACTATATGATAGATGAGGTGCATGTTCCCCGAGGGAAACTGCTATAAAGAAAATCAGAACTAATCAAGACTGCAGTATTAGCGGTGACAATGTTCATCTAACACTTGCAATGGTTAACGTACAGATGCAAGTCTCAAATATAACGCAGTTTAAGGTATAATCAACACTCTTTCATCTGATTCATTTCAAAGGCGCGATCGCGGTCGTGGTCCGGACCGTTCCACATCGGTCTTGGCATATCGATCGCGGCTTCGACGAGATACAAATTTTTAAAACATTTAATATTTTAAAAATTGTAAAAAAATGATAAACAAAAATAATAAAAATTAGAGTTGACTCGGGGCGATTCGGCCGTTTTTATCTGTTTCGAAAACGTCTCGGCCGAATTCTCAGTAATAAATTATCTCGGAGTCATTTCGTTTCAATATCGGAACGGAAAGCCCGATTCCGGTGACTACTCGTCTGAGTCGTCTCGGTCTCGGCCAAGTCTTTGAACCATGGGTACAACGCAGTTTAATTCTATACTGAAATATCAGAAGATGGAAATAATTTCGACTGAGATTTAAGAACTGTTATGACCCGCTGCAATGCGTCTGACTTACGTGTCCAAGCATGAAGAGTCAGAACAATGCCTAACATCTTCAATTCTGTAAACATTGATTCCAAGAATTGGCACTCCATTGGAGGCATCAGCGATACATATACACAATAATTAGCATTTACATTGACGAGGTACTCCTGGCATTATATTTATTGAACTTCTTTATCTCATGAATCTTCAGATAGAGATTTTTCGTCCTCAGAGCAAGCAACATATCCAAGCCGAATCCAAATACACAAGTGGTGGCCATTATGATGAACACAAGCCTGTAACAATGTGGCCCAAGGCAAGAGTTTCCAACTCCATCGATGGAAGTAGTAGCCTGAGCATCATACAAATAACCAGCAAGAAGGCCAGAGAAGAGGAAAGAACCAAGAGGGAGATTCAACATCAGAATGTTGTATAAGAGACCGTAATATTTTAACCCAAATAACTCTGATGCAACCGGAACCGTAATGGCCAAACGCACTCCGTAACATATCCCCACCAAAATAGAACCTATATAGAGAGATCCAGGAAATGCAACGGCCATCACTACACATCCAGCAGCCATTAGAATCTGAGATACGGCATTCAACATTGGCCTCGGTGTTGCCTTTTTCCTGCAAAAATTAAACAAAGATGAACTCAGTTCAGACTAAAGAAGAACATAGAAATTTGAAAAAAAAAAATTATCAATTCCCTAACAAATGCAAATGTTAGATCATAATGATAACATACTCGATACAGTATTCTGATGCCATGCCTGAAATAATACGACCAAAAAATCCCCAAATGCTGGTGAGAGAAATGAAAATGGAGACATCATTGTATCCTAACGCTTGTCCCATCCGTCCAAGGTTGTTAAGCACGCACATTCCAGTCCCCACTCCACAAAGGAATGATACGAACAGTATCCAAGAATCAGAGGTGCGCATTGCCTCAACAATGGTGTGATCCTCCCCAATAACAGGCTGATGCTTCTTATCCTCATTAGCTTCCTCCACTATTGCACCACTCTCCTCATTTTGGGGCAATAGAAACTCACTTGCTGGCCCTTCAACATCTACAACTGAAGTTGGTTTTGCAACGATGAAGTAGACTGGGACAAATAACGGGATAGCAAGCAGGAATAACAGGCCAGCAGCAAAAATTGAAGAAATAAGATGCCCATGGCTGCCAGAGATGTCGTAGGCTAATAGATAAAGTGCTATAATCATAGCAACAACATTAAAGAAGTGAAAAATAACTGACTGATCTTTTGCATCATTGGCTGTAGGTGGGATTTCGCGAAGCAAAATAGCTGCTACAAGGCAGACAATTGCAGGAATGATTGCCAGTGTAAGAAGAAAAGCAGAGGGTTTGGCCGAGAAGAGTGCTGCGGATAGGTCTGTGAAAATGGCTGTGCTTAGCGCTAAATAACCTTTTAAGATCCCTGATACAGGACCCTGATTTGTTCTGAAGTTTCTCATGCAGGTCACTAGAATTGCTGTATTCATGCACGTCGTACTGTTGCCTCCCAAGCAAAGAAATACGCCCACCCAAGATCATTAATAAAGAATATGAGACGCAAAAAGATTGAAAAATAAAGGAAAACAAATGAATGGATAAAATGCATACCTGCCAATATGGAAGGGGACGTATCTTCTGGCTAACCACGGGCCATTGAGCCCCATATCCTAATAGCCCTTCAACAGCCCCAACAATGAGAATGATCGATATTGGTAACTTGTCTGAAACTAGACCAGCCAAGATGCCAAAAGCCTTGCCAACATCTTTAGCTACGGAAAGATTGTTGAGCTGAAGCTGATTAAGGACCATGAGAGATTTTAGAGCATCAGAATAGTTAGAAAATGTGTCATTGTTGCCAGCAACAGCTTGAACCCAAACTGCACACACAAATCCTAGCCATTTTACGGCTGGAGATGCTGATGATAGAAATCCTAAAACCATTGAAACTAAGCGGTACAAAAGAGTACTAGCGCGAATAATGATATTGAACAGAGACAATGATGAGCTTTTCCTGTGGTGTCTCATAATACAAGTCTTTGAAGTATTTACAGCCATGTTTTGGCTCCATTGAAAAAAAATATTTGCCCATAGACCATGGTTTCAGTGTTCACCAATTCAGGATTAAAGTTGGCACAACTCTTCGAATTGTTTCTGGTTTTGATCACTGTTTAGTCAATCCGCGAGCGGGACATAACTGGCTGCATATTATCTGTCTATCTATCTATACCATCTATAAAACTACCTTCAATGATTTACTGATGAGTATTTCTTATTTTTTGATTTGTTTAATATGCCCAAAATTACATAAATGTTAGTTTGAGTGTAAAATTGAGTATCATGTATAGGTGGCAAACCAATCCACTTAACTAAATTTACCCATACCCGCCCATAAATAGATGGATATGGGTATTTTAAGTTTTTTCATATGGGTATAAATGGGTTACCCAATAATACCCATTTATTAAATGGGTATTATTAGATAACCCATCAAATCCAATTAACCCATTTAGAATTGTTTTTCCCCAAATCTCCTCTCTTCCCTCACCCATTTTTTTTTTTCAAATTTTTCATTTTGCTACCCATCAATTCTTTTGATTATTTAATTCCACTTTGTTTTTCTTTTTAATGCTATTATTTATATATATTTATTTAGATTATTGTTTCATCAAGCATAGTACCTCTCATTTGGCCAAATGGAGCATGCATTGTGATTCAAGTAAATATGATTATATTATAAGAGATAAAGTAAACATATTTCCTTAAAAAGTGTGACTACTGACTTATAAAGAATTACTTGATTTGTTTAATATCCAATCAGAAAAATTTCAACATCTTATTCAGGCATATAACACTATTTTCTCCTTTCATATCATTTGGAGTAAAGTTAGATAAAAAAATAAAAAAAAAAAAGTCTATCATGATCTTCTTGACCTAATGCCTACTGAGATGTCATCCATTCTGGAATTAAAAGCATGTTTCCAAGCATGTCCGTAATTAAGAAATTAAGCCCATGTTGTTAATTAAGAAATTAAGTCCATCATTGTGTTGCATTTCATCATTAATAAATAATATCAAAAGAAAGTATACTCCTCTCTCTCTCAAGAAAGTCTTAAATTAAGAAACTACCAAAAGCATAAACTTCCTATTAATTGGTTCTACATTAATAATCATACAAACTAAAAGTTCTAGATTAATGATAAAACTGACTTCAGCTCAACTCGTCCTCGAGTTCTGAAAGAGTAAACGTTACAAGCAGAAAAGCAACACAGTCGAACATAATAATGTATTGAACCTCCAAACTTGGGAAATTATGAACCTGGCCGGATCAGTAATATGCTTCGGAGACAAGAACTTGTTCGAGTCAAATGATCAAAACTGTCTATTAAAATAAATAATTTAACGGGCAGCAAACTTTATCGGGATTAATTTGTTCAATTTTTTCAACTTGAAGTATTCATGTACATGACCATGAGATAGCGTTAAAACTTTCTTCAATTCTCCTATGTGCTCTTCAGCTTGCTGAGCACTCTGAATTCTTTAAATTCATAATAATAGCAACCTGCGGTGATCAGCATTCATATTTTTTCAGTAACTTCTGAGATGTCGTGTTTTATTTGTTTCTTCTAGTGTGTCAACTTCGAAGCTCAAGCATGTGTGTGGAATACAAGACCACTTTGTTTTCAAACGAAGAACTATACTACCACCCTAGCTTGGCATATTTATAGCAGCATACCAGCAGATAGGCCGCATGCCCCCATTAAACAGACTCCCTGGGAATTAGCAAGGCTCTTTGATTCATCCTTGTAGCTCTGAAAAAGTTGTCCAACAAAATCTGGATTCATAAGGTTGTCCATCATTTACCACATCCCAGGAGAAGTCTAACTGCAATACTTCTATAAATTGATAGAGAAATTCATAAAGAGAACAGCATATCAATCAGCTTAAGTAGCGTGCAAAGTGAAAACTGCAAGTTTCTTGATCGTGAAACATTAAATAAACAATGATCAATAAGATTGCATCCATATGAGTTGCTATATAACACGGTTTACAATTCTTTTAAATACGAGCATGACATGAAAGACATTCATGCAAGTTCCCAGCAGGCAACAGCCTTTTTATCATCGGGCCAGTGTGAACATCAAAACCCACAGGAGGATGTACTTGGCATTTAACTTGGGTACAAGAATCAGCCCTCGAAGCAAGAACTCGTACAAACACTGTAGAATATTTGAATATTTTCTGAATGTAGATACCATACACTACATACAACCTGAACCTGGTAACTAATCGGATATGTACAGCGAGATAAAATTGGATTACTATGTCCCCCACGACTCAAGAACTGGGCACCCTTGAACAACTACCCCATCTGCAGTCGGGCAAGAAGCTAAGGGGCATCCATCTGCTTTACTTCCCCACCAGTCAAGGCTAACATGCCCAATGTCCAAAGCCAAATAAAGCAATACTCCCATGAAGGCTAATCCAGCATCGAGCGCCCCAGACAACACATAGTTGTGTCGACTCCACCAGCTTCGATAATATCGGTAGGCAATGAATCCAGAAAGAAATGCAATTATAACCCAGCTGTTGTAGTTCACAGCAGTAGCTGGTGGCATATTGATTATTCCAGCTAATACTACAGGCACAGATATGAGACTAATCCACTGCTGGTTTGGAAAGGCCTTGTGCATAAGCCAAACTACAGCAGGAGCCACAGCTCCAAGCACGAAGGCCCAGTTAATGGCAGAGTAGTAACCAAGATCTCCAAAAATTCTCTGCGGTCCAATTAAACCCCATATAACAGAGGCATCATAGAACACATGGTCGCCTGGGCAAGTCCAGGGGCTGCCAGGAGGAAGCATTGCTCTGTCACAAATGTCTGGGACTGTCTCCAAGAGCCACCATGCTGTTCCTAGATGCACAAGAGCTGATACTAGAGTGCCAGCAACCTGAATAGGGAAGATGATGGCAAAAAGACTCAGAAGGATAAAAGCAAAAGCTTCACAACCAGACGTACATGCATATTATATTGATTATTAAGGATCTGATTTTTGCTTTACTCATCCACTTTCTGTTTGGGAACTGAATCTTACCTGAGCCATGAACATGTCTCTGGGAGGGATCTTCATGTAATGTCCAAGTTTGAAATCCTGCAGAAAGGCTAGGGCCTGTTTCATACTGATGTACCCATACACCTTAAAGGACATGTTTGCAACAGGATATCCTGGGTACAAGTACCCAATGATGTACTCTGTGATCACATTGAGTCCTGGTGTCTATTGAAAAGAGAACATGCACATTAGTGAACAAAAATTACATACTACGGTTTCTAGATATGAATGATTAAATTCAAAGTCACATTGAGACGAAAGGGAAACCCTTTTACAGTTCTAGTGAATTAATCTAAAGCTACCTAATTAGTCCTTAGCATATATTATAGTATTCGCAAAAGGTTGAAGAGCTCCAAGACTAGATATAACAGGACATGTGCAATATATCGCAGAAATCATTTCAAAAGTTAAATAATCCCACCATGCTCAATGTTCTATCACGTTAGTACATATGATGGAATTCCAACAAGCCCATAGAGATGATTATTTTATTCTTTTATCTCTTTGAAACATAGAATATAGCAGCATCACATACGAACGCATCATTTCCCAATCACGTAATATAATATCTGGATCATTCAAGCCTGAAAGGCATTGATAGTTTATACATCAAATTATGAGTACCACAGAGTGATTGACAGGATCTAGCTTGATCACATAAAAGAGTGCGACAAGTCAATTAAACACTCGAGGAATAAAGTAATCAACGTTCGTACATTAAGAGAATACCAGTAAAAACACAAATGTCACACAGTTGGAGAGTCTGTCAAAAGGCAATGGCAAACTTACCTGATTTGTAGTGGCAGTGATGACACCTACTGGGAGGGTGAAAAAGAAGGTAAGACCACACGCCAGCAAGACAGCCCACCACGGTAATTGAAGCTGGTCATTGTAGTATTCACATATAAATATGGTTGCTGCAATGTTAACTAAAAGAATGCATGTGAACCACCATTCAGGAACTTGCTTATACATCCTCATAAGCTTTGTGTGCACATCCAATTTCTTCTCTTGGAAGGCAGACTTGCTCAGCCGCCATAGATCTCTATAGAGCATGACATTCAGGTCACTTTTATGCCATAATGCATAAATGTTTAAGAGCATTGTCTTCGTAATAAATTTCAATGGCTCCAAGTCATGCCTTAAACAACCTACTGGAGCTATTTGAGAAGAAGACTTTGTTCTTTAAGCTAATGGAAAGAAGGTTTATGCTTCACAAACTTAGGAACGTTTTGATGAAGCAATGATTTTTTTTTCAAAGAAAGTTAAGAAGATCAACCATGGATGAATTATGACTCATTCAGAGAACAAAAGCCAAATCCTAAAGTTGATCTGTTTGCAATCTAGCATAAATAAAGGCCATGTAAGAAATTTAGATAATAGCTAAAGCTATAGGCATTCCACCTCAGAAGATGCATCTTATACTCTTCTCTTCCCCTATGCTTTTTGCAGTTACTGAGGTCAGAATCAAGAAAAATTATCCAAGAACTATTATGATTTGGTAGCATTTCAGAAAGCCCAAAAAAAAAAAGACTAAGTAGTTTTCCTTAACTGCATTGTCTGTATAAGCAAATCAAGATAGTAATAATATGTTATATTGGAATTAAACTTGAACACCTAGCATAATAATTTGGTGAAACTAACCTTCCATGGAAAAGGAAGACATGAACAACAGTAGCAGTGAGGCAAGCAAAACTGAAACCATATGTAATAGCAAAGAAGGTACTGAGATACAGGCGTCCCTCATTCTCGTATGCAGTTAGATCAATGTGGAAGTTTGAATCAATGATGGCTGAGATGTTGTAGTTTTGTCCCTTTGATGTGAAGAGGCCGTCTGAGTAAATAGGAAAGGTTTTTGCCTTGTAGATATTGAACCAATATGCAATAGGGGTGATAACATACATCATGAGAAAATAGCCAACAGCAAGATTAGCAGTTGCAAACCAAGGGCTAGCCAGTGGGCTCCCAATGTAAGAAGATATGCTAGACCAGTCAAGACCAATTGCACCAATACCAAGACCATGAAGTCCTGAACCCAGCTGTTGGGCAAGAACGGAATTAGGGAAGATCCAACATATCCAGGAAAGGGAGGTTAGCATGGGGAAAAGGTATCCAGGAAGGACATAATAAGCAAAGCTGCAGATGAAGGCAATAAGGAAGAACTGGTTCCTTGACAATCTGCCCTTGATTCTCTGTTCTTTCTCATCAAGCGCCCTGGCAAATATAACACAAACTCAAAGACATTAAATAATTTGCATTGAGTTCAACGTCAAGAATAGCCGAAATTTCTAATGGTGGAACTTTGATAATCTAGTCCAAACAAGATTTTAGTGTAAATGTGGGTGGAGGAGAAAGTTGAGAAACAATTTGAGAGATTGTAAATGCAACCAATAACCATTTGCAAGTTTGTCCATCCAGGGTAAAAGACTGAGATGGCAAATGACGGTTGAAAAGAACATCACATATCTTAGCAGTTTAAGATACCCAAAATTGTTATTCTTCAAAAGTGTGTTAATTCTTAGTTGCCATGTATTATTCAAACAAGTACTAGCCTTCGTCACATCCATCACCATGAACTTGGATGAAAAGGACACAGCAAGGTTGGTCACTTGGCACAGACTAAAACACAAAACGACACCAAGCAAACTCAATGTACCATTATTTACGAGCAGTAGTACCAAAATAAAATAGAAGCCCGAGCATTTCATGTACAATAAGACAGAAACAAAATAATATAATCAGCCACGTGGCGCAGAAAACATCCACTTTAACGCAAGAGTCCACGATAAGTTCGGCGTAAATGGGTTACTTATACCTGAACAAAGAGACCTGGACGAGGTTTTGGGGCCACCACATTTCAGCGGGCTCCACCAAGTAGCGCCTGAGAATGCCGGCCCATCCAAAGCCCAAAACCTGGGTAGTTATAACCACCACCAGCGCCACCCAGAAAGTCAACCTCTGCCTGTAAAACACCTTCACGGCACTAACGATATGAATCGAGTAGGGATTCGCCGCGCCGGAGTTGGCGAAGATGGTGATCAGCACGTGCTCTTTCATGTTGAAAGGTCCCGGATTCAGGGTGAATTCCCACTTTTGGCCCTTGAAGAACACTCTGCTCGTCAACGCCGAAGCCATGAGGTGGCCCAGCGGCACCACGGCGATCTGAGCGGAGATTGAGCTGATAGAAAGCGGCTCCCGCCGGAACCAGAAGAACTGGTTGAGGAAAGACAGGACAACGCATGCCAGGGCTCCCAGGACCCACATCCGGAAGGTGACCACCGGCAGGGTCCGGTCATCCGTGACGGGTACCGTGAGAGCCACCTGCTCCACCGGAGAATTCTCGTCTCCGAACGGCTCGCACGACGGAGAAGATGTTCCGGAACCGGAGGCATGGTCTTTGTATGGTTCAGCCCGTTTCTCGGCTGTGGAAAAGACGATTAAGTGATTAAATTCAGGAGATGCTTAAAGGATTAGAAAGAAGATAAGTGGAGAATTGAGGTCGGTTGAGTTGAGGTTAAAGGAAGTGAAAAAGAGAAGCGCTTACTAGTAAGAAGTGGAGCTGAAATTTCTTCAGCGTCCTTCCTCATGCTTCATTCATTCGATTCTATCAATTCCACAGCGAATCTGGAAAAGTGGAGCTTTGTGTCCAGTCCAGTGTGCTTGGCAACCATATCGGTAATTACTAATTAATAATAGGGCTCCAAAGAATGTGGGGCCAAGGTGAAGAAGCTTTTGATCAGGGCCGTTGAGTAGTGCCAAATTCTGGACATGGAAGGAGAGAAGGATTAATCACTGCCGTTAGATGTGATGCGAGTGGGCCCACTGTAAAGTTTTTGAAGTTCATTGGTGACGTGACGAATTAATAATGTGTTGTCTCATCACTCATGGGGTAAATAAATGGATCAGGAATTTTAACGTGCGGTTAGATTAGAATCTGAGGACTTGTCCGGGAAAACGTTATTTTAGATTCTGCTGACCATTCATGTGAACCTTTGACACAATGATTCACTTCATAAATGTATTCGGACGTTTCCACGGGAAGATACGTCTCTACGCGGACTGCAGAGGAAGCCAGCATGGCAGGGAATTGTCCATACTGCATGCTGTCGAGGCAGTTGTTATTCCCCAGCATGTTACCCTTCCGCGTACCCAAAGTTGCTGGATTTTTTGTTTTCTGAAGAGGTGATTTCGTACAGCTGGACTAAACCTCCTGGTTACCCTGGGTGGTCCACTGGGACGAGTTCACCTGCTTAGATTACAAGAGGGGCTGAATCCCCCGGTAGAACTCCGAAACTCAAGTCAGTGCGGGAGTGAGAGAGTAGCTAAATAAAAAAGAGTATCAATGTGGTTTTACCAGAAGATTGGTCATCCCCCCTTCTTAGTAGATACACTGGGTATTTATTAGGGGTGGCAATTTTCGACACGACCTGAAAACACGACACGAACCTAACACGAAATTAATGGGTTTGGGTTGAGGTTTCGGGAATTCGGGTCAGAATCGGGTTGGACCCGATGAACCCGAAAAGGACCACAGGTCAATTTCGAATCAACCCGTGGTGACCTAATATGACCCGATATGACCCGTTTACGAATTAAAAATAATTTAATAAACATAAAAATAATTTTATCTAACTAAACTAAGTTATTCTTTTTTTCAAAGGCATTAATTACTTAATCCTAAATGAATTTATTTAATTTGTGTGAAGTTGAAATTATTATATTTGGACAAATAATATATTATATTATTTTTTACTTTTATACTGTTTTAATTTATTTTATATTTTATTTGGGATAAAACACTTTTACGGTGTTTAATTTATTTTAGATTTGGTTTGGAATTATTTATTTAAATTTTTATTACTTGATTATGTAATTAGTTTTGTGAGAAATTGATTTTATTAGAAATTACAGTGATAAATTAATAAATAAAAATTAAATTTCGGGTCATTTCGGGTCGACCCGCCAACCCGTCAACCTGAAATTTTCGGGTTCGGGTCAGCATACCTGACCCGTCACGGGTTGGCGGGTCGGGGTTCGGGTCAACAGATTTTCTGACGGGTTGACCCGAACCCGACCCGCCAACCTGATTTGGACCCGAATTGCCACCCCTAGTATTTATAGGAGATGCGTTGGGAAGAGGGACTGGCATCACGGGTCCCTAAAGATCTGAGATAGTCAGTGCATCTGGTGGATTTGACTGCTCTTTACGAAAAGGCTCGATGGGACACTTGCCAGTTTCAGACGGCGTGTGTCAGAGTAGCTGTCCATCAAATGTCAGGCGTATCAGGTGTCATTTCCTATCTTGCGTAGGCGTCCATTAATCAGACGTCACCTCAGCTAATGACCTGAGGGTTTAAGCCGATGTGGTACACAGGTTACGATGTCCTTGATAAGCAAGGTACCGAGTAGGCACCTCGGGAGGTATCATGGTAAGAGGCCTTGGATCGTCTGGGCCGAAATGACCATCCTCACCAAGCCCCCCAAGCTTCGAGAAGGGCGAGGTCATGGCTTCCCGAGGTCGTTCCTTCCCGAAGCTGATGAGCTTGTAGAACACGCAACACAGTAAGGACACGTCAGAACTGTATAGATCGGACTAATAGAATGGTGAAATGATAGCTGTCAGTTTTGACATCGGATCCGTAAAATCAGCCGTCAGATGAACAGGATCCTCATTAATGAAGGGAGAGAGTAGGTGCTCTAGGGAATCCCAAAGGTGCCGTCTCTTCGGTTTCCCCCAGTTGCCTATAAATAGGGGCCCTTTTTACCGTTTCATTCTTCACCAAAAATCGCAAATCACCTCAGAGCTCTGTTCCTGCGCTTTTTCACTTCGGCAGTTTTCCAAGCAGTTTCTTCAGAGTAAGTTCACTTCTTCGTAACAATGGCCAGAACGGCCCGCACACACAATGAAACGGTGAGGCCTGATTTTACCGAGGTAGAGAGGCCTGACCCCTCCGAGGAGAGAACTGCTTCTGACGTCGGGGAGGGAGGTGCTGAGGCGTCTCATCAAGCTAGGGCAACAAGATGCCGAGGCGGAACAAAACGAAGAGATCGAGATCGATCCCGAGGTTCTATATAATGATGACCTCGGGAATGAGGTCCCTAGGGACGTGGGCGTGCAAGAACCATCCACTCCTCCGAACGTGTCGACGCTTAACTACGGCCAGATGCCTGCCTTTAATAGTAACCTGGGGCGGGACTCTATAACCGAGGTAGTCCGCAAATATCCCTGGAGAAAGGACTACAGTATTTATATACCCCAGCCACACCAGTCTGCCGCACTGCCTCCAAGGGGTAGAGTAGCAATCTACGTGGAACAACTGGAAGCCGGGCTCAGGATGCCCACAACAAGATTTCTCCGGGACTGCCTGAGGTACTGGGGGTAAGAATCACTCAGCTTACCCCGAATGCCATCCGTGTTCTCGTCGGCTTCCAATTGCTTTGCCGACATCAGGGGATGGAGCCCACTGTCAACCTCTTCCGTCGTTGCTACTCGCTCAAAAACAGCGAGAGTGAGAAGGGCTGGTTCTACTTCGGGAACAAAGTTCCCAAATTAGTAGTGGACGCTCCGAGCTCGATAAAGGAGTGGAAACAAAATTTCTTCTTCGTCCCTTCTGAGGACTTCCCCCGGGGGTTCTGGTGGAGGCCTCCCACCGCGGTTAAAGAGACGTCCCCGGGCAAGTTAGAGGAGCCCAATTTCAAGAAGTTAACGGGGTCGGGCCTCAGAATTAACTGCTGGGATTTTTCCGAAGTAGTGCTCGTGAAAGGCGGCCTCAGCCGAGCCTTAATCAGCTCGGATCACCCCGTCCTCATTTCTACTAGGCTGAAAAGACCTTGTACTTTTCCATTTCCCTTCTTTATTTATCCATCTTGAGTTCTAACTAACTCTCTTTCACTTGTTGCAGTGACGAAAATTTCGGACCTGATAACCTCGGGAGATGTCGAGGTAGCAAAGAGGGCACCCAAAAAGCGCAAGGATGCTGCTGAGCCCTCTACAATGCCAACTAAGAAGACCACCACGGCGACAGGCAGCCGCGAGCCTGCCGTGGTGATCGTAGGCTAAGGCTCACACACCTCGACCCCGCCCGGAAAGTCCAAAGCCTCCGCCATCCCGGTAGGAGTTCCTATCCGAGGTGTGACAATAGCCACTCCACCTCGGGGTCAAGGCGTGACCGTGATCCCGGAGAAACCTGTCACGGGGTCATCGTTGTTCAACCTCCATCACGTACCCTCGAAGGAGGCCGGGGATGACAAGAGGCACTCCGGGGCGCACTGGTGTCCGGAGTGGGAAATCAACGTCAACGACCTCTGTAAAAACCCCTTGGTCGCGCATGAGCTTCTGGTGCATTCCGTGCTGCCTCGGGATAACACCTACGCGAGAAAGCTCACTCCTGCCGAGCTGATGCAGAGCGCCTCGGTCTCCTGGGCCTCCACCATGACTTTCTTTGCTGAGATGCTCCAACGTTACGGGCATTTCATGCAGAATTACGAGCCACCTGCCGAGCTTCAGAAGAGGATTGCCGATCTGAAAAAGAAGCTGAGGGCAACCGAGTTGGAGCGAGACAAAGCCGAGGCGGGAAGGAAGAAGGCCGAAGTCGCGAACAACTCCCTGATAACTGCCCTTGATGAAGAGAGAGGAAGAAGGGCCCAAGAAGAAGAGTCGACCAAGGCGGCCATAGACAAGGCCGGGGTCACTACCGTGGAGGAATTCCGAAAGTCGGAATCTTTTACTCACGACCTTGGCGAACTCACACGCCCATCCTTTATGCTCGGCTACACTTCGGCTATCAACGATGCGATGCCTTTCCTTTCTTCTGAGCAGCTGGAGTCCCTCCAAAGCGCTCCTCACTACAATGAAGATGCCAAAGAACTGTGCGATCGCATGGCTGAGGGCATCCGGGCTGGGAGAGACCTAGCCGAAGTGCGTGCTGAATTCAACAAATGGCTCCAAGAGTTTGAATTAGATGGTGATGGCACTGAAGGGGACCAGGCCAGTGGAGGAGCTGATGGGCAGCAGGAGGCCGAAGCGGGTGGAGAGACTATGGGGGAGCAAGGCTCCTGGGCAGGGAATGCTTAGAAGCATCCCTTTTCTGTATTTTCAGATGACCTCGGCCTTTTTTGTACTTTTTGGCCTTGCTTCAATTCAATCAACTTTATACTTTCGCAATCTTTTTAATTGAGTTCGGTTTTATTTTCTTTACTACTACTTTGTCCCCTTATTTTTCACTTGTAATGAAATGAAACGAAGTGAGAAATAACCCCAGACTTAAAATTAGAAGTACTTACCTCTCAAGGGTAATACAGCTTAAGATTTTCAGCGTGCCAAGTTCGGGGCACCCGAGAACCATCTCGGTACGCCAATTTACAATATCCATTTTGGCTGGACTCCACAACTCGGTAAGGTCCCTCCCACTTGGGACTTAGTTTTCCCTGGGGTTCAGTTCGACTGACCGAGTTCTTCCGGAGTACAAGGTCTCCCGGATTGAACCGCAAGTGCTTGACCCGAGCATTGTAGTAGCTAATTAGGATATTTTTATAAATGGCAACTTTGGCCGCGGCCATATCACGCTTCTCTTCGGCGAGGTCGAGGTCAACTCGCCGCTCCTCTTCATTGACTTCGACAGCATACGCAGCTATTCGCGAGTTAGGAGTGATGAACTCGGCTGGAACGACAGCCTCGGAC